CTCCTATAGGAGACAGTAGCCACAAAAAGCGAAAAAAAAAGCAATGACATTGAAAACAACAAAACTACGATTATTAAACGTTATCATTTTTCATCCCATAGTGAAGTTAGTAAACAGGGCCTCGCTATGCGCTATAATGCCTAAATGAGCTTCAATTGTTACGGTTGACCTAGAGAGTTGAGTCAGGGAGTTGATTTCTGGCACAAATTAGGTAAAAAAATATATGTCAAAGGACATTCAGAGATTAAGAGATTTCTTCCCTAAAGTTAAGTCATAGCACTGAACTTTCTCTTTGCAGTGTCACATCGAGGTAAAGTGAAAGGAGGATGCAATTTGTGTTTATCATTCATTTGATCAGTTTGATGCTGATATTTGTTATGGTCCATCGTGTCTTGAGCGAGAGATGTAACAACAGCAACTGGTGGGAAAGCCTGGATAGGACCCCGGGATGGTCGGTGTGTCCAAGAAATAACACCTACCTAAAGGGATTCTGGAGGAGTCAAAACAAAACCGGAGATGAAAGAGTTGGACGCCTGGAAAAAGGAAGATGCTGCGATGCTGCGGAGCCGCGTTACGCCGGTCAGCCTTCAAGATGTGTGAATGCAAACTTGTCACGCACGTTGAATGGGTGAGCCAAACTCTTCTTGAATGTCGCGCCTTTTTTATGTCACACCCCTATATGATAACTTTGATCAATGCCATTGACTACTTTAATACCTTACGCTAAGAATTTGAGCTCTAGTGGAAAACTGATGAATGAGCAACCTGCCTTCGTCTTTCCACTGACTCCGCGCATTAGTCTTCATTTGGTGCATTTTAGTGCTGGTATTTTTGGGTTTTTACTTTTTTGGGTTTATTGCGTTTAAACGGCTGTGAATATATGAAAGTCATATATTTGAACTGTGGATAGAGACGTGAATTTGAAAGCGATCTTCGCAGTTATGAACACAGCCGTTTATTCACCACTTCACGGGTTTATTCGGAACCAACACAGTAACCAGCTCCCAGTTTGGCTTGTTAGCTCAGTTGGTAGAGCACTACACCGGTATCGCAGAGGTCATGGGTTCAAATCCCGTACAGGCCTGAATTTATTTAAAAGTAATAAACCCAAAAAAGTAAATACCCAAAAATTTCAGGCTCATTTTTTTTTTTGTTGTTCTCTTTCTTTTTTTCAGATTTAATGTCTGGGCTTTGTGTCCAAGAGGTTTTTACATGAATGGCATCAGAACCGAATCTCATCGCCCCTATGATTCATTTGTGAACAACATCGATGGGGCAAGATGTTGCCATCCAACTGATCACCCCAGCAGTTATGGAGACTGTTACGATGAAGATGTTGCTATTTCATTCAACAACAAAGGTTGGAGTGAGTGCCAGGAGAATGGTTATTACATGACCGGTTTCTACAAAAGTAACTGCCATGACCTTAACTGTATTGACAAGTTCAAATGCTGTAAACATCTATTGAGAAGAAATAGTAGAGATGGTAAGTTTTGAGCTCGGTCAATAATTAAGAAAGATGTTTTTTCGTCTTGTCACGAGCGTGGGATAAAGAAAAATTCTGAGAAAAGACCAAAAAACATCTTTCTTAATCTATTGAGAAGTTCAGATGCTGAAAACGGTAATTATATTGTTGTCCAATTATTTCTTTATACAAAAAGAGACAAAAACGAAGAGTTTCTTGGAGAATCTTTAATTTCCCAAAGTTGCGATGCGTCAAAGGTTAGACTGAACCGATTTTAAGTGACCTGTACCACTTGCTTTTTCATTTCCTTGGGGTTTTCTTTCCCCAATAAATTTCGAAAGAAAGTTCCAAGAAACACTTTTAAATTTTGACCTACAAGACATACTCGGAGACTAAGATTAAAATACTGTTACCTTTTACAACCACAGTTACTAAATCTACAACAATAAAAATATGTAAGCATGTATGATGTTATATTCACATATTACCTCATGTTAATCAACAGGGCAATCAAACCCATTTACAGATCTACAGCGAGAGGTATACAAATCTTGGGTGTTTTCTAAGCTAATACCAAGTTCGATTTGTTTTAGACGTGAGCCGGAAAAACAGAGTCGAGTACATCGGTCGAAGCGTCTGTTTTAGGAGGCTTTCTTGTCCCTTTGATAATTTCCCACCGGAAAACTATAAAACTATATGATGGAAATTTGTTCATCAATAAACAGTCGCTACAGATGTTCTCCCAACGAAAAAAATCCGAGCAATTGTCAAATGGAAACCTTCTAGAATCTTTCATTACAATTTAGGTACAAGTTTCGATAAAGAAACTAAGAAGGAAGCCTTTATTATATTGCTCTGCACCGCACTATGGGAACAACCCCAGCCAGGGTGGTGTTCAAAATGCCGCCATATGAGATTTTTTCCAAAACTTAGAATAAAACCGTTTACGTCTGTTAGAAGGGGGTTATTTTCCCTAAAATGGTAGCAAGTTAGCACTTTCATTTCAAAATGGTTTGCCATCATGTTACCTTTTGTGACGTCGCATTTCGTTGCCTTGAGGCGCCAATATAAAAATCTTCGTGAATAGAAGTGTATCTTGAAGCGATCGTGTTTTTTTTTTCTTTCTAACCACCCTTAACTTGTCGACCAGGTTGATGCCATTATCACCGGTCGTTACCCTTCCGCCAACTTGAGCACGGTCATCACAAAATTTCTCAATTTGACAAAGACTGGGAATGAGCTTAAACTCAACCTAAGCGAACTTTCTTTCTCCGTGGATATGCTTAAACAACTTGTGCAGTATAACTCGATGAAAAACAACAGTGCGATCGGCGCAACATCAGACCAACAAAACATTGTGAAAGTGGCAAGTAATTTACTGGAGGAGGAAAATACAAAAACATGGTTGTCGTTGCAGGAGGTAATTTTCCGATCCTGAGAAAAGTTTGAATTTCTTTTTCTTTGTTATATTTCCCTATCATCAGCTGTATTTTCCTCTTTCATGATTGAAACAGAACGGTAAATAGTCCTTTAGCCATCACTTTATTCTTCTAAAGAGAGACAACAAGTTCCACACTTTATATGATTATATGTCGGATAAGTCCGTGGTTCTCATGATGAAGTGTATTTAATTTTTTTTTAATTATTCATTTGGTAAGGTGAAATGCCAAGGACTGGCACGGGTAGTCCAAAGCATAATTTAGCAAACCAAGGTTCTTGTGAAATGTTACTTTTGTTTTTGTTTATTTTTTGTTTCCTGGGTTCATTTTTGCTTTACGTTAAGGTGGAACGTGGCACTAATGAAGCTTTAAGCAAGGGAAATTTAGACCAATATTAACCATTATTTAAATCTCGGTTGAGTACTAAAAGAGTTATTTTAAACCCTCTTTTTGTTAATTAAGAATACCTGACTGTTTAATCTTTAATGGAAAAAATTACAAATGGATTTAAATTTTGCAAGGCTGTTTCGGTAACCCTTCATAGGCCCCTTCACCGATTGTTTGCATTCACTGCAGAAAATTTATTATCTTAAGCTTGACTTTATTAAAATCCAGAAAAAGGGAAACATCACTGACATACTTCTGAAGACTATGGACGACTTTGCTTTTCAAGTGAACAGTAACCTTGGCTACTCAACCAATAAATCGGAGTTATTATCAAGAAACATCGCTCTTAGAGTTGATCGCTGGAACCCAAAACATGAGGTAAGTCAAAGGTCGATCTTGAACTCTTTTTAGACTGCTTTGACCCATAATGTTAGTTAATTCAGGGACATTTCTGTAATTATGAATCGGGTGACATATTTCATTGATTTCCTAACCCTTCGGTCTGAGTGAACATGTATTTGTATATTTCATGCTTAGTTAAAGGTTGATTTCGCTCAATATGGCGCAACAATCCTTGTTCCTGGTTCAGCGATCTCGGACACAATAGAAACTCGCATGTCCACCATTGCCTACAGAACACTTAAAAATGTTCTTAGGCTTCCAGTAGATGGACCCAGTAATAATCAGAGCGCCGGAGGTAGGCTTCGGAGGAGTGGCACAAGCATTGTTTCTTTCACTATTCATGATCGTGTATCTGGTTCCCTGAATAAACCTATCAAGCTGGCTTTTAATCACAATAACAAGGTACTGACTGTTTTGTATTGTAATACGAGTTGCAGCAACAGCGCATGGGAAACTTACTCCCGTCAGTTTTATGGGTTAAAAAAATGCTACTGGACAATGTAAATAGATCTAAGTTCTTAATAAGGGTAATCGTCGATAAATCGTTTTTATTCTATACCTATCCAATTGAGCACAGTTATAGTTGTTGGCAGCTCAGGTCATCATTCAACTTCATAAAGGTTCCAGAGAAAATTTTATGAGATTGGTCGCTGAAATATAAATTGTTCCCCAGTACAGCGTCTCTTGAACAGTAAGTCCTAAAAACCAAGTGAAAAAGGATATTATTTCATAGGGGAAAGGAATCAGCTTGGTGTTGCTTTTTTTGAGAGTTTAGTATTACTCATATGCATTATCTCTTTTTTTTTTGCAACGTATCCTGCAGTCTAAGTTTTAATCGTAACGCTTTCATTGCAGAGTTCTGATTTGATTGGACAGTGCGTTTTCTGGGAGATCGACCAATCGCAGAGGACGTGGCTGACGCGTGGATGTGTTAGCGTTGTTCGTGAATCAAACTCGAGTGTAACCACGTGCGAATGTGATCACTTAACCATCTTTGCAGTCTTACTGAACAACAAGCCAGTGAGTCTTATATATTCTCGAAGTCTCTTCAGTCCGACATTTTCTTGAAATAGACATTGTTGGATCATTTTCTTTATTTTTTCACTAGAATCGCAAACAAGTCGCCAAAAACTCCTTGATTTACTATTTGTTCCTTTTTTCTATTTCGTCACTGGTCTCATGTCGTCGAAATAAAATACTCATAACGTATTTTTTACCTCTTAATATATTACAAAACTTCCACTTATTTAAATTCTTGTTGCTTTTCTTGTTGCTAATTATTTCCTAATTCATAAAAAATTCCCACATAGTTTTTTTCTAGTTTTCATTTCAGGTAAAAGCTCGTCATCAGCCGTACTTCAAACATATTTCTACTGTAGGTTGCGCATGTTCACTTTTCTTTCTGGTGCTTACTTGTGTGACAATCTTAACTTGTTGGAAAAAGTTGAGAAGTTTTCGGATAACAATGTTACTGCATTTGTTTGCTGCCATTTCGGTGTCTTGTCTTCTAATTATTATAGCTGGAAAAGCAGAAAGACCAAAGGTAAATATCAAATGTGTTTCGATACTCGTTTTTAAAACTGTGTCTATCCTTCTGTACTTCTGTTCAGTAATAGATCAAATATGAGATAAAAATGAAGTAAGAACAGAAAGGAGGCAAAGAATGAATTAAGTTCTCTGTGATTTAATACAAAACAGAGGCACGGCAGCATGGAATTGATTTGCTCAATATATAATACTCAGGAAGTAGAATAATCTTACTTGTGACGTCATCTGTGCTTCTCTCCCTTAACAGATCATAGAAAAGATCCGATCAACATTCATGCTTAATTTTACGCATTATGTAATATTTTTCATTTATTCATAGATTTATTTACATTCACAGGAGTTATGTACAACAACAGCAGTGTTACTCCATTATTTCCTTCTGTCTGTATTTTTCTGGATGCTATGTCATGGTGTTATGTTGTACTTCCTGATATTAAAGGCTGAACGGCAAGAAATTCTGGCATTGAAAAAGAAATGGTTCTACGCTCTAGGATGGGGTAAGAGCAACACTCCTTAAACAAGTACATTTCCATCCCCATATGCATTAGACGTTTTTAAGCACGAAAATATAACGCCTCATTTAAAAGGGTCAGAAAATTTGGTAGTTGCTTTTGTTAATACTTAATTCATTTCTGGCTATCCAGGTGTTCCAGTCCTAATCGTGGCCATTTCTCTAGCAGTAACTGGAATCAAGTCCTATGCAGCAAATAACTGTTGGCTTACAACAGAACATTGGCTCATCTATTGGGCATTTGTTGCTCCAGTTGCCGTAATCCTATTAGTAAGTATACTCTTTTAACAATGGTGCTCCTTTTATGGTGTAAGATATATTTTATGCAGACACCGTTTAATATGTGAGGTATCGCACTGGAGTATTTTTTCGAAAAAATATCCGATTATATTTTTTGGCTTAATCAAAACTATTTTTTTATGTCATCATAGTTAAGAAGCTTAGTTGGGGATGAGAAAATCTTAGGAATAAAAGGAATGGTAAACTACGTATACACCTGTAGTACTGAGGGCAAAACACTCGTAAGCAGAGACAGGAAGCAGCATTTCTATTTGTTTTTCTTTGTTTTGTTTCTTTTTTTTCTATCTTTTCTTCTTTTATCAATCTTTTTATGAATTTTTGCCTCTAGATCAACTCAATTCTGTTAATTTTCTTGCTTCGTCGGATACACAGAGCGACTAAAACCAAAAACAACAAAACATCTGCCAAGCACGTGAAGGATTGGTTGAGACGTTTTGCAATGCTGCTGCCAGTTCTGGGTGTCACGTGGTCGTTTGGCTTTCTCACGTTCATTACATCAACAGCTGTGTTTCATTACATATTCACCATATTGAATTCGTTCCAAGGACTTTTCATATTTGTGAGCTTCTGCATTCTAGACGATTCGGTAAGTCTCTAATTTTTTATTATATGCTTCGAAAGGCCAAGAATTGCTCCCCATGATTTTCCTTGTACATCTATAGTATTTATATTGTGTAGACTTTTGAAATTACGTGAAAAAGCTGAGCGAAAGAAAACTAATTGTATTCAAAAGCAAGCAGTTTGAAGCTCAGAAGTAAGGCAAATGGGGAAGAATTTGCATGGATATAGTTTTGCATCGGCGAGGTTTACAAACGTCGATTTACTATGAAGTTACAGTACCAATTAAAGTAGAATGTATGAATTCCTGAGGTACTTTTGGTTTCCTACTTGTTGTTTCAAATTGGCCCCTCAGTTTTACCCTGCGAGCAGTTAGTTTTTTATCCCCATACGGCAGGTTAATCTCAATTTGCCTATTACAGACTTAAATGCAGGAAAATTTATGATCGGCAAGATGGATGAAGTGACGAACTTCTTTTAATTAAATTTTCATTAGGTTAAAAAATCTATTAAGAGTATTTTGTGTGAGAAGATGAATACCACGAAGAGAGACACAAGAGAAGGAAACACTGTTTTTCAGGAGTAAATAAAGGTAAGAATTGATTAAATAGAATTTAGTTAAATGTTTGAGTTGATTGCTAGACTAGCTATGTTTCAACAAACTATGCATCTTATCTGTGGTAAATGACTGATGCGATGGCAAACAAATGGACGTGCTTGCCTGTAAGATGAACAAGAAATGTGCGCCATAAAACTTCCCTCTCTTGTGCGAGATTAAGATAACAGGACATTGTTAGCGAGGCTTCTTTTCACTTTTGTTTGTTTGTTTTGTTTGTCATTTCTTTTTAGTCGATTTTGTTGTTGTTGCTTTCATGGTTCCAAACGGACTCGAGGTTTTTAGAATCGTAAATCAATGAGCGGAACTCGGGCCAGATACAGCTAAGGAATTTTTGTATAATTTTTATCATGAACTAAAAGCATCATAAAGAATTAATCGAGAACTGTGGGCTGTTAAGTCTAATAATAAGTTGAGTGCCAAGGATTCTTAGGAAGGGATGAAACGCTTTGTTCTCCAAGTTCTGACCCTATTTCAAATCATTAAGTATTATATTTAACACCAGATCTTCAGACCGGATCTTTACAGTGATCTCAATAGTTTAGACGGCACATTATCGAAGAAGTTCTCTCATGTTCTTAATTCTGATTCATGTTGCAGAGTTAAAAAGACGCATGGAACATTTCACTTGGAATAGCTTATAACCGCTGTACAAAGTCCTCCACATATTTTTTCTACGTTTAATGGTTCTGCTTTTCCTTTGCTTTGTTCTTTTGTATGTTTGCGTGAGTATTGATAAAATTGATCATTTCCTCAGACACTAAGCTACCTCTTGACCAACTGAGGTTTGAACATCGTGTTCGGTTTTATGGTAATTGTCTAAAAAGGGTAATTTCTGTGTTGATTAGTACGACGGAAAGTGATGAAAAGGTTTCTATATTGAGTACCGGCCACATGACAGTCAAGGAGCTTTGACTTTCACAGCACTTTAAAAAAGCAAGAGACTAAAAAAACGTGGAGGAAATTAAGGTAAACATGTCTCCTAAACAAAAAAAAATTCCTACGCTTTTTCGGACTAGCACACATAAAATAAATACCAAAAAAGACTGCGCCTTTTTTGCTTTGTTTTTCTAATAGTTGCTTTGTATCTGTTGGCAAGGAAAGTATGTTTTTGTAATCAAAAAACAGAATAATTTTAATGGAACGAACAGTGAAGAACTAGAAAAAAAAGGAGATGACAAAGAATGATGATGAAAACAACAAAATTTAATTGCATGCTGGTTAAAATTAAGGAAATAAAATCTAAAATTTTTTTCGCAATCATGAAGGAAAGTCTTTGTCCTTTACGTTTTAAAAAGTCAATAAAAGGTAGGTGGATTGGGTTAATTCTTTTTAATTGATGCTAGGGAAGTCGGTGCCTTCTTGCACGAAACCTCAAGCTAAAAGGTAGTTGATAGGGCGATGGTAGATTAGCTAGGCTGATACCGCTTTGGACTAAAGCATAAGTTAAATAAGTATTCAAATTCCAACTTCATCATAATATTTTGCGGAATTATAAAATGTCATAAGTACCGGTGATTTATGTACTTTGTGATCCTGACACAAGCACGATTCAGAGAATATAAGAGAGCTTCTTGAATGGTTAAAGAAAGGTTAAGGTGTTTATACATTAAGAGGACACTTTCGTCCAAGAATGTTTTCTAAGAGCTCACGAAGTGATTCGGAGGCGTTTCGATACCAACAACAACCATATCACAAGTAAGCACTTTCAGTATGTCACCTTTTGAGTCCTAGATGTTTATGATTCGTCTTATAAAGCCCTACAAAATTCATGATTGGGCCGAAAAGAAATTATGCGTTCGGAGGAGACACATCAGTGTTCAACGAAGGATTAAATCTGGATAAAACATTTGACTTCCAGTTAATAGTATCATAAACTGAATATGCTATTGTTTTCATGATAACAAATGCCTTTCAGAAGGTCCTTAAGTATTCTCCATATTTGACAAGGGTCTGCAAGCTTGAAGATTGTAATCTGAACATCTGTGTTACCGCTAAGGAGCAGATCTTTAAAATTTACTCAGGAGGACGTCAATGCAAATTAATCAAATGGGGAATGTAGGTATTTTTACCAATGTTGTGAACCAGACTTGTTTCGGCCTCTATCAGCTTGGATATTTATAAGAGTAGAACCAAAAAATAGCACCATTACAAGGATTGACAAGAGTGTTAAACCAAATTATAAAATTTTTAAGACCAAGAAAAACTGACTCAGTGAAGTTGGTAATTGATGCATATGTTTTATGAGTCTATATCTTTTGTGTATCACTAACAGCAGTGTACAGTCTTAATCAAGAAATATGATCTCTTGGTCTTAATTTGATACTATTGCTTTCACTGATATGATGGAATGATACATACATGTATTGTGGAAAACTTTTGATTTCTTGATTTTCTCTAACATTTTCTCGGCTTTATTCTAGTACCAACTAATTTACGCGTATTCTGTTCGTTTTTTCACTTCAGCATTCATTTATGCAGTGTCATTTTTGCGCTATGTAAATTACTATGCCCTACACATTTCTCGTTTCAAGCCCTTAGGAATACTTTTTTCTTTTAGTTCTGTTTAAACCCCTTTCGCGCGAGTGTTTCGTGTTTCCTATATTTCCCTCAGCATTTGGTAGGTTTTTTATCGCGTCGTATCTATGTATTTATTTTATTGTCTTGTTTGGTTAGTTTATTTCGTAAAGGTCCTTTTTTCTGATTTTTATTGATTTACTTCTTCTTCACATTAAAAAGAGAGAAGAAAGCGGGCCCTAGCCTTTTAAATACATTCGATAGTGTTCGAGTATATATTCGTGCATGTTCGAATATTTCAACAAAATTTAAACGCTTCTCTTTTACTGTTGGGTCAATAAGAATTAAGGGGGCAATTTTCGAT